GGCTGATCAGTAGGAGAGGCTGATAAGTAGAGGAGGCTGATCAGTAGGGGAGGCTGATCAGTAGGGGAGGCTGATCAGTAGGGGAGGCTGATCAGCAGGGGAAGCTGATCAGTAGGGGAGGCTGATCAGTAGGGGAGGCTGATCAGTAGGGGAGGCTGATCAGTAGAGGAGGCTGATCAGTAGGAGAGGCTGATCAGTAGGGGAGGCTGATCAGTAGTGGAGGCTGATCAGTAGGGGAGGCTGATCAGTAGGAGAGGCTGATCAGTAGGGGAGGCTGATCAGTAGAGGAGGCTGATCAGTAGGAGAGGCTGATCAGTAGGGGAGGCTGATCAGTAGGGGAGGCTGATCAGTAGGGGAGGCTGATCAGTAGGAGAGGCTGATCAGCAGGGGAAGCTGATCATCAGGAGAGGCTGATCAGTAGGAGAGGCTGATCAGTAGGGGAGGCTGATCAGTAGTGGAGGCTGATCAGCAGGGGAGGCTGATCAGAAGGGGAGGCTGATCAGTAGGGGAGGCTGATCAGTAGAGGAGGCTGATCAGTAGGGGAGGCTGATCAGTAGGGGAGGCTGATCAGTAGGGGAGGCTGATCAGTAAGGGTGGCTGATCAGTAGGAGAGGCTGATCAGCAGGGGAAGCTGATCATCTGGGGAGGCTGATCAGTAGGGGAGGCTGATCAGTAGGGGAGGCTGATCAGTAGGGGAGGCTGATCAGTAGGAGAGGCTGATCAGCAGGGGAAGCTGATCATCAGGGGAGGCTGATCAGTAGGGGAGGCTGATCAGTAGGGGAGGCTGATCAGTAGTGGAGGCTGATCAGCAGGGGAGGCTGATCAGCAGTGGAGGCTGATCAGTAGGGGAGGCTGATCAGTAGTGGAGGCTGATCAGTAGGAGAGGCTGATCAGTAGGAGAGGCTGATCAGTAGGGGAGGTTGATCAGTAAGGGAGGCTGATCAGTAGGAGAGGCTGATCAGTAGGGGAGGCTGATCAGTAGGAGAGGCTGATCAGTAGGAGAGGCTGATCAGTAGGGGAGGTTGATCAGTAGGAGAGGCTGATCAGTAGGGGAGGCTGATTAGTAGGGAGGCTGATCAGTAGGGGAGGCTGATCAGTAGGGGAGGCTGATCAGTAGTGGAGGCTGATCAGCAGGGGAGGCTGATCAGAAGGGGAGGCTGATCAGTAGGGGAGGCTGATCAGTAGGGGAGGCTGATCAGTAGAGGAGGCTGATCAGTAGGGGAGGCTGATCAGTAGGGGAGGCTGATCAGTAGGGGAGGCTGATCAGTAAGGGTGGCTGATCAGTAGGAGAGGCTGATCAGTTGGGGAGGTTGATCAGTAGGGGAGGCTGATCAGTAGGAGAGGCTGATCAGTAGGAGAGGCTGATCAGCAGGGGAAGCTGATCATCTGGGGAGGCTGATCAGTAGGGGAGGCTGATCAGTAGGGGAGGCTGATCAGTAGGAGAGGCTGATCAGCAGGGGAAGCTGATCATCAGGGGAGGCTGATCAGTAGGGGAGGCTGATCAGTAGGGGAGGCTGATCAGTAGTGGAGGCTGATCAGCAGGGGAGGCTGATCAGTAGTGGAGGCTGATCAGTAGGGGAGGCTGATCAGTAGGGGAGGCTGATCAGTAGGAGAGGCTGATCAGTAGGAGAGGCTGATCAGTAGGGGAGGTTGATCAGTAAGGGAGGCTGATCAGTAGGAGAGGCTGATCAGTAGGGGAGGCTGATCAGTAGGAGAGGCTGATCAGTAGGAGAGGCTGATCAGTAGGGGAGGTTGATCAGTAGGAGAGGCTGATCAGTAGGGGAGGCTGATTAGTAGGGAGGCTGATCAGTAGGGGAGGCTGATCAGTAGGGGAGGCTGATCAGTAGTGGAGGCTGATCAGCAGGGGAGGCTGATCAGAAGGGGAGGCTGATCAGTAGGGGAGGCTGATCAGTAGGGGAGGCTGATCAGTAGGAGAGGCTGATCAGTAGGAGAGGCTGATCAGTAGGGGAGGTTGATCAGTAGGGGAGGCTGATCAGTAGGGGAGGTTGATCAGTAGGAGAGGCTGATCAGTAGGGGAGGTTGATCAGTAGGGGAAGCTGATCAGTAGGGGAAGCTGATCAGTAAGGGAGGCTGATCAGTAGGAGAGGCTGATCAGTAGGGGAGGCTGATCAGCAGGGGAAGCTGATCAGTAGTGGAGGCTGATCAGTAGAGGAGGCTGATCAGTAGTGGAGGCTGATCAGTAGGGGAGGCTGATCAGTAGGGGAGGCTGATCAGTAGTGGAGGCTGATCAGTAGGGGAGGCTGATCAGTAGTGGAGGCTGATCAGTAGTGGAGGCTGATCAGTAGGGGAGGCTGATCAGTAGTGGAGGCTGATCAGTAGAGGAGGCTGATCAGTAGGAGAGGCTGATCAGTAGGAGAGGCTGATCAGTAAGGGAGGCAGATCAGTAGGGGAGGCTGATCAATAGGGAGGCTGATCATTAGGGGAGGCTGATCAGTAAGGGTGCAGGTTGTTGACGGGGAGATTTCTGTTTTTTTTTTATGATGCTCTGTATCAAACATCAAGGTCCCTCCAAACCCAGACGAAAGAACACTAAAGCTCATTCTCCAAAGTTGACTCCATGTCTGCTCTATCACTGACAACCCCCGCCACAGCATCGAGTAGGACAAAATCCAAGTCCTCACCACCAACCTCAAAGCCTTCAAAATCAGAAAACTCCAAGAAGCCATCAACATAAAAAGACTCTAACCATCAATAAACCGTGATCCATTCTATTACATACCCACTGCATACCATCAACTCATCAAAGATCCCAATCAGTCATAATCCCTTTGTTTATACAACTGGCATCACCTGTTTAGATGTTTACCTCATATCACCCCTTGTGTGTACCACTCCATTGTAACGACATCCCAATCTACTCAACTGTATAAACATTGCCCCCTACGTGTATATATACTTGTAACATCACTTGCTTGATAACGGTGTTAGAACCTACACCGAAACATCGTTCCTAACTGTAATAAAGAAGTTGTTCATCCATATATCTTGTCCTTACTTAGAACTCAAACTTCTAAATGCCTCTCAAAAAAGTTGTATCATGCTCACTGAGACAGGTCAATTTATAAATGTTTGTATCATGTCTATTGGAGGAGGTCTATAAATGCTTGTATCATGCCTATTGAAGGAGGTCTATAAATGCTTGTATCATGCCTATTGAAGGAGGTCTATAAATGCTTGTATCATGCCTATTGAAGGAGGTCTATAAATGCTTGTATCATGTCTATTGAAGGAGGTCTATAAATGCTTGTATCATGTCTATTGAAGGAGGTCTATAAATGCTTGTATCATGCCTATTGAAGGAGATCTATAAATGCTTGTATCATGCCTATTGAAGGAGGTCTATAAATGCTTGTATCATGTCTATTGAAAGAGGTCTATAAATGCTTGTATCATGCTTATAGAAGGAGGTCTATAAATGCTTGTATCATGCCTATTGAAGGAGGTCTATAAATGCTTGTATCATGCCTATTGAAGGAAATCGATAAATGCTTGTATCATGCCTATTGAAGGAGGTCTATAAATGCTGGTATCATGTCTATTGAAGGAGGTCTATAAATGCTTGTATCATGCTTATTGAAGGAGGTCTAGAAATGCTTGTATCATGCTTATTAAAGGAGGTCTATAAATGCTTGTATCATGTCTATTGAAGGAGGTCTATAAATGCTTGTATCATGCTTATTGAAGGAGGTCTAGAAATGCTTGTATCATGCTTATTGAAGGAGGTATATAAATGCTTGTATCATGCCTATTGAAGGAGGTCTAGACATGTTTGTATCATGCTTATTGAAGGAGGTCTAGAAATGCTTGTATCATGTCTATTGAAGGAGGTCTATAAATGCTTGTATCATGCTTATTGAAGGAGGTCTATAAATGCTTGTATCATGCCTATTGAAAGAGGTCTATAAATGCTTGTATCATGCCTATTAAAGGAGGTCTATAAATGCTTGTATCATGCCCATTGAAGGAGGTCTATAAATGCTTGTATCATGCCTATTGAAGGAGGTCTATAAATGCTTGTATCATGCCTATTGGAGGAGGTCTATAAATGCTCCTATGCCTATTGAAGGAGGTCTATAAATGTTCCTATGCTTATTTGGGGAGGTCTATAAATGCTCCTATGCCTATTGGAGGAGGTCTATAAATGCTCTGATGCCTATTGGAGGAGGTCTATAAATGTTTGTATCATGCTTTTTGGCGGAGGTCTATAAATGTTTGTATCATGCTGATAGAAGGAGATCTATAAAAGCTCCTATGCCTATTTGAGAAGGTCTATAAATGCTCCTATGCCTATTGGAGGAGGTCTATAAATGCTCCGATGCCTATTGGAGGAGGTCTATAAATGCTCTGATGTCTATTGGAGGAGGTCTATGAATGCTCCGATGCCTATTGGAGGAGGTCTATAAATGCTCTGATGCCTATTGGAGGAGGTCTATAAATGCTCCTATGCTTATTTGGGGAGGTCTATGCTCCTATTCCTTTTGAAGGAGGTCTATAAATGTTTGTATCATGCTTTTTGGAGGAGGTCTATAAATGTTTGTATCATGCTGATAGAAGGAGGTCTATAAAAGCTCCTATGCCTATTTGAGGAGGTCTATAAATGCTCCTATGCCTATTGGAGGAGGTCTATAAATGCTCCTATGCTTATTTGGGGAGGTCTATGCTCCTATTCCTTTTGAAGGAGGTCTATAAATGTTTGTATCATGCTTTTTGGAGGAGGTCTATAAATGTTTGTATCATGTTGATAGAAGGAGGTCTATAAAAGCTCCTATGCCTATTTGAGGAGGTCTATAAATGCTCCTATGCCTATTGGAGGAGGTCTATAAATGCTCCTATGCCTATTGGAGGAGGTCTATAAATGCTCCTATGCCTATTGGAGGAGGTCTATAAATGCTCCTATGCCTACTGGAGGTGGTTTCTGAAGATGTTGGAGAGGCTTCATAACTAAAGAACACATGTCAAAAAAGATGATAAACACTTACTTGTGAGATGCCACAGAACAGGTATTTGGTACTCCTCTTGGTAACCGAGACAACGGTATTGGTCCCCAAATTTGTTGCACGTTCTCTGGCATGATACAGGTCTCATACTGCCCAACGTCCAATTTGAACACGGACACTCCCCGCGTCGGTGACGGGATACTCAAACTACACTGGGCTGTTGCCTCGCTTCCAATGTTGATCTTCAGGTCTGTTGTAAGACCCTTTGAATCTAGATCCTGAACCACTTTCTTCAGATCAAACCAACCCCTCCCAAGGTCCTTCTTCCCACTGAAGCAGAATGCCCCTTCCTTTTGACACAGATCTGCACAGATTTTATGATTAAATTTTGTGTCAAAAGAAAAATTCTTCATCACCTTGTATCCTCTTTCGAACTTCGTCCTGAAACCACGCAGAACAGTTATTGTGTCCTCAACACTTAGACCGAAGCCAAAATTTTGATAACCTGTTCGATACCAAAGATGAAGTTTTAGTTTTTTCCCGTCTGACATGTAACCATCCATGGCAACCTTCTCCAAGAGAATGTCAGTCTTCTTTGTAGCAATCATGTTGACATCATCCTTAGATAGACTGTGCAGTTTCTTGTGAGGTGGCTCTCCACGGAACATGGCTCCGGTTAAGGCAAAGTTCTGGTGGAAAATTCTTTTCCAAATCACTCTTGTCCGAGCATCACATTTGTTAAGTTTTGATCCTGGGCTCCTGTCATTCACAGAGTCGTCGTGGTCAAAGATTTGACCAATCAGATTGAGCGTATCTCTGGCATAGATAACTGGATGAAGTTGATGTGTGTGCCATATGAGGTCCATGTCGTAGCAGGGCACCAGGAACATTCTCGCATGATGTTTTTTCGCATACAGAAACTGCTTGTATCTCGTCACACAGTTCTTGAGGAACTTCTCATCCTGGTAGTGAGGCAGGGACACCTGATAATAAAACACTGTCTGTCGGAGGGCAGCTGCAGCAATGTCGTATGTAAACTGGGACTTAAAATGCGGCTCAACATTAACATGGTCTGCTCGACGAACACGAAAAGGGATGTGTGGGTATTCATCCTCCCACACAGTCTGGGCCAGGTCCACAGCATCTTCTCGGTCACTCCGGGACAACAGATGATGGTCAATAACCATGCCGACTGCTTGGAGACAGTCCAGCTTATACTTCAATGGGCAGAGTAAGTGACAGTGCCACACCCACTCAATGTCTATAGGTGCAGAGAGAATTTTGTCTGAATGCTTGGCACACAAAGGCAGCCAATACTTCTCATATCTTTGAATTGCATAATCCAAAACAGGACCTGATTGATTAAGATCTGTTTTCTTTGCAACAGCATTGAGAAAGTCAATTTGATACTTGGCAGCCATGAGTAAATTAAGAGCAGGATCCAGTGTCACACTGTTGGCAGTAAAGTCGGGGATGGGAGCTGGGGAAGATGACCCAGAGCGGACGGGGGCTGTGGCATTAGCAAAGGCTGACCCAGGTGGAAGGAGGTGGACGTTTGATGACGGCACAGTTTTGTGGGTTGGGGACGGTGGAAGAACATGTCCTTGCTGTGGGGGCGCCTGTCCCTGGGATGGGGACACTGCCTCTGAAGGTGGGTGAGGGTAGTTTGACACAGGTGGTGGACTAGTGGTTGGCACGTGGGGCTGGACGGGGGCAGGAATACACTCTGGGTAGAGACCAGGTCCATGCCTCACTGGAAGGGGGGTTGCACTTTGCTGGAGGGGTTCTTGTGATTCCAGAATTGTCAGATCCGGTGCTGAGGCATGAACGAAGGCTGACTCAAGCCCTGGAGGAGAGGGGGACTCCCCTGGGTAGGGGGGCAACACATCTTCCAGTCTGGGGGCTGAGGCATTCAGGTATGCAGAGGATGATGTCATGGATAGGGCAGACGAAGAGCCTGCCCATGGCACAGAACTGGACAGAGGAGGACCAGAGCTTGACAGAGGAGGACCAGAGCTTGACAGAGATGGCTCACGTGTGGAAGGAGGCTTCTCTGTCATCTTGTTCTAAAATGACAAAAGATCATCTTCAACATCCACCATATAAAAACATGTAAAATACCTTTGGCCTCAGTGTAGTTAGTTCTGCTGATGTGAATGTGAGTGAATACGGCTTTACACCGTTTTAAGCAATATTCCAACAATATCACGATAGGGAACCCCAGTGATTTGAAACATTTGAAAATATTGTATTAATTTCCCAATAGCAAATCAGTATGAAAGTGTCATATTACCTCATAAATTATATATCTGAGTGATTTACCATTGACAATCAGTCTTATGAAATCTTGTGCATATTAAACATTCAAAACTCAGAATGTATCAATATATGTTATTGCAAATTTTCTAATACTCCAGATGGATAAAATGACAATCTGTGTATTGCCTCCCCTAGATAATTGCATGATACATTTCTTTCAAAGAGTGATACAAATAACTGGAGTTGACAGCACTGAAAGTACGATCAGTTGGCTGCAATCTTCTTCTCGATACTCCATAGTGCTGCCAACTGACACTCAGCATGGAGGAGGGCAGGGCCCTCTCGACCCCGTGACTTGGAAGTGGTGGACCCTGAACACATCTCCAGCCCACTGACTGCAGTCGACACATTTCTCACACATGATGTGCCTTTAGTCCTTGTCTGTTTGTTTTGTGGGTGAGGGTGTGCAAAACATGTCATTCTCCATAACAGACATATTATGTAAAGGGATAAAAAGGTCTGAATCTTCTGATGTTGTGAAACCTTACTTTCAAGACCACCTAGTTCGCTGCTGATGCTGACTCATCGAGACACATTTCTCTGACGTGATTCCAGTCATGTACACAGACACATTGTGTCGATGTGATGCTAGACTCAGACCCTCTCACTCAGGAAATACAAGAATTCACACGCTATTTCATAAAATCAGTATGACACATATGCTCGTATGATAATCTCTAAATATACTCACATTGTCATATGTCCTTCGACACTTGTCACTACATATCCTTGACATTCATTGCTTGTCATTATGCCATTGATGGACATTGCTTGTCTCTATACGTCTTTGATGGACATAGCTTGTCACTACATCCTTGATGGACATTGCTTGTCACTATGTCCTTGATGGACATTACTTGTCATTATATGTCCTTGATGGACATTGCTTGTCACTCAGTCCTTGATGGACATTGCTTGTCACTATTTCCTTGATGGACATTACTTGTCATTATATGTCCTTGATGGGCATTGCTTGTCATTATATGTCCTTGACAGACATTGCTTGTCACTCAGTCCTTCATGGACATTGCTTGTCACTACGTCCTTGATGGACATTGCTTGTCACTATAGGTCCTTGATGGACATTGCTTGTCACTCAGTCCTTGATGGACATTCCTTGTCACTCAGTCCTTGATGGACATTGCTTGTCACTACGTCCTTGATGGACATTGCTTGTCACTATAGGTCCTTGATGGACATTGCTTGTCACTACGTCCTTGATGGACATTGCTTGTCACTATAGGTCCTTGATGGACATTGCTTGTCACTATAGGTCCTTGATGGACAGTGCTTGTCACTAGGTCCATGATGGACATTGCTTGTCTCTACGTCCTTCATGGTCATTGTTTGTCACTATGTCCTTGATGAGCATTGTTTGTCACTACGTCCTTGATGGGCATTGTTTGTCACTACGTCCTTGCTAGACTTTGTTTGTCACTACGTCCTTGACGGGCATTGTTTGTCACTTAGTCATTGATGGACGTTGCTTGTCTCTACGTCCTTAATGGGCATTGTTTGTCGCTATGTCCTTGATGAGCATTGTTTGTCACTACGTCCTTGATGAGCATTGTTTGTCACTACGTCCTTGCTAGACATTGTTTGTCACTACGTCCTTGACGGGCATTGTTTGTCACTATATCCTTGCTGGACATTGTCACTATGTCCTTGATGAGCATTGTTTGTCACTACGTCCTTGATGAGCATTGTTTGTCACTACGTCCTTGCTAGACATTGTTTGTCACTATGTCCTTGATGGGCATTGTTTGTCACTATGTCCTTGCTAGACATTGTCACTATGTCCTTGATGAGCATTGTTTGTCACTATGTCCTTGATGGACATTGCTTGTCCCTACGTCCTCGATGGGCATTGTTTGTCACTACGTCCTTGATGGACATTGCTATTCACTATGTCCTTGCTTGTCATTGTCACTATGTCCTCGAAGGACATTGCTTGTCACTATGTCCTTGAAGGACATTGCTTGTCGTGCTGAACACTTATCAAGCATTGATGAAAATAAGTAAACATAGCTATCAACTTATTAACCCTGACCTAGTTTCAACCGTTCTGTCCAGAGTGACAAGAAGTCTCTCACATTGGTCACAATGCTTATAAACATTTACAATAGAAAGAATAAATACAAAGTGTTTCCATCCTTTAAAAGCTGAACTAGCATGCAATAGCTGCAATAGCTGCACCAGCTGCACAGTAACCATTGTAGGCAGTGTAAAGCCTTTGCACTGAGATCATATGAACTGTACATGTTAAAAACAAACGAATTATTTTTAATCTTAACACGTCTGTGAAAGCTATTCAACTCTATTTCCAACAAGGAAAGTCAGACTGCCTCAAGGGGCTATCACCTTTCTGCTTACAATAGGTGAACATTCCTAGAATGTTTTTCTCTTAATAATCAGCACGTCTATTTAATAACAGCAACATCTGTTACCGCCATAAATTAGCTTCAACAACGATGAAACTGGATCTACGGCCGCGGCCGCGTAGGTCTGCCGCTAAACAAATTAGTAGTACCATGCAGCTAGTGTACAGATCTAGAACACCGTTTACACTGACATATTCCACAAAGACTGCTAGTCACAGCAGCTAAATATAGCACTGATTAGCAGTACACACCGAACCTGTTACCGCTTCGCTGCGTGGATTGTCATTCAAACAATACCTGACACACAGACTTCACAGGGCAAAGCCGTCATTAAAACTTCTGCTGTGATAAAAACACAAACTTGTGACAAGCGTCCGTGCTGAAAGACACGTTCTCATTTCGAGCGAGACATGGCCGAACGTTTGTCACCACCAGCATCTAGTCAACCTGAAGCCAGTTTTACCTACCTTCTCTGCATGCCACCGAGTATCCCGAACAGCGACGGGGGAAGTGGATGCCTAGCGAACCCCGCCGATCTTGAACTTGACCCGGCGGTGACACACCATCACTGGTCCCGGCTTTGTTTATTTGTCGAAAGGCAGCGAGGTCACGCCCATGTGGTACGCAATAGCAAAGGGAGGTCACTCTGATGTCGTTGGTCGCACACTGCTGTGACATAACAATCCTTCGTGGGACATACTTCGTTAAATGATCCAAATATTGATCTGAGCGTTTATCTATGCTAATGTCAGCGACGTTGTGGGATTTTGTGCAACCTGAAAGTGATGAAATTAACTGTCAATTTGACCAAGACCAGATTTAGGGGACTGTGTCAAACCACAATGGATATTATCAGCACACTCGTGACCTAGTGTATATGAGAGAGAGAGAGAGAGAGAGAGAGAGAGAGAGAGAGACAGACACACAGACGGACAGAGAGAGAGAGAGATGTTTGTTACTGTGTCACATGTTACATATACGCTTCATACGAAAAGACGTACACAAACAATAAAATGTAACATCCGACCAGGTATGGTCAACGAGACAGTAAATGTATAATCATATGTATAACGTTATGATCAGGCTCAGATAAATTTAGACACATACCTACACGTACAATGTAAGTTTGGAAAATCGTTGAACACACACACACACAGACACATGCATAGACACATGCAGACACACGTAAACAGTTAAAACAAAAAGGGCAAGTTCTATCCTGGAGTAAAGGTGGATGACTGCACCTAAAATCTGCGTAAAAGTACCAAATATTTTCTAGTGTTTCTATGGATAAAATTTGATAAGGCCAGGCAGATTCATGTATATATCTGTTTGGAGAACCTTTCGAATGTCATGTATGAATGTACTCGCGATGACATCTAATTAAATTGTTTTGTGTTTTATCCCGGTTAAGAGTATTAAAACATCTTTAAATATTCAAATGCCCTTCCTCTGTGCGGTCCTTGTAGATCTACATATAGTCTTCACAGTCATCCACCCCGTGTCAAGATGGCGGGGGACAGGTCAATAGAGCGAAACAACAATGGCCACCAGACTAACAAGTCAAAGGGCGACACGAACATTTTTTATAAGCATGAATAGTATTAGTTTCTATTTGTTTGCACCTTTTATTTATTAATCCAAAGGTTTTCCAATAAATATTAAACAACAGTAAAATCTAGCTGTTGATGTCCTTACTAAGATTTTGTAATACATAATTATAGGAATACTTCGGATACTTCAATACAGTCGTCTAAGTTGCCGCGATTCGCTGTGCAGAGTTGCGTCGCTTGGGCACGCCAGAAACCTATGATTGTGAGTTCGAATCCCGGTTCGCCCCGATTATGTTTCTAGATTTGTCAGCACCATACCCGTGCTCGTGGGTTCCTCCGAAGTGGTAAACGTCTGAGACTTGCATCACTTTGGGCTTTCCTCCCACATTACGCCGACACGCCGTTATATCACTGGAATACTGTGAAAAGCGGCGTTAAACCATACTCACTCACTCACAATACTGTGTTGACTGACAATTGATCAATAGTGAAACCTCTGCGTATGTTGTCTTTACTAAGATTTTGTAATAAACACTTCGATATTGTGTTGACTTAATTTGACGAATAGTGAAACCTGTGCGTATGTTTCGTCGATGCTGTATGCTTGTATACAAGTCACAATGGCAACTAAACTGAAATCGGAGAACTGAGTTAGTGAGGTTTTACGCCGCTTTTAGCAATATTCCAGCAATATCACGAGCGAGTGAGTATGGTTTTACGCCGCTTTTAGCAATATTCCAGCAATATCACGAGCGAATGAGTATGGTTTTACGCCGCTTTTAGCAATATTCCAGCAATATCACGAGCGAATGAGTATGGTTTTACGCCCTTTTTAGCAATATTCCAGCAATATCAAGAGCGAATGAGTATGGTTTTACGCCGCTTTTAGCAATATTCCAGCAATATCACGAGCGAATGAGTATGGTTTTACGCCGCTTTTAGCAATATTCCAGCAATATCACGAGCGAGTGAGTATGGTTTTACGCCGCTTTTAGCAATATTCCAGCAATATCAAGAGCGAGTGAGTATTGTTTTACGCCGCTTTTAGCAATATTCCAGCAATAGCCAGCGAGTGCGAGTGCTACCTATATATGATATTCACGTGATATGGCGACAAAGCGATCATGCGACACGACAGTGCGATATCACGACACGATATAGCGATATTGCGATACAGCCAAAATCGAAATGGCGATAACACGCAACGACATTACGATATCGTAAAGCGATACGGTGAAATAGCGATATCGCGATAATCCTCAGTCGTTATTTGTGAAATTAAGGAAAGCGGGTTCGTAGATTCATACCGAGCATCTGAGTGAGATAAGCCCACAGACTGAACTAGCAAGCACGAATACACGCTGTATCTAACTGTAGCTCAGTTGTTCAAATTCCATGACAAATCCTTCCATCCTAGACGTGTTTACATCATTCATTGGCAAGACGACTGATCCACTGAACTACAGTAAACTACGGTTATAACGAACACGCTTATAATGTACTGACGGATATAACGAACCTACTTTCTGGTCCCGACTACTTGCTGTAGTCATGCTGTATATGTACTTTTAACGAACTACGGTTATAACGAACTATAATTAGTAGTCCCTTTGAGTTCGTTATAACCGTAGTTAAGGTTAATAGAACGAGCAGTCATGTCTTGAAACGTTTCATATTCGTGATGTGAAATCGTACGTTAGTTAACAACAGTTTGGTTAAATTGTAAAGTGTCAAATCCAGCTGGTGAAGTACCACATGTATTGCACACCCAGACGCTTGATGAGCGATGACATAATGCAATAGTGACACAGGACAACAGTGGTCACGTGTCCAGTATGACGACACTACACGGACAATGACAATGTCAGAGTCATGAGAACTCTGTAGGCCGTAGGATTGCATCAGCATAGCTTTGGGCTGTCACGGTCCCTGCCACTAGGCTTGTTCTACCAGTCTGGGAGAGGACCGCCCTCATCATTACGCTGCCACCGTCATCTCCATGGGCACTCCGTTCAGATCAGTGCAGCACAGATCTCTGTACTCAACGCTGTACTCATACTGTAAACATAGACAAATTTGAAGTTTTTAAACACGTTGGTAACTTATCAATGAAAGAAACAAGCATTATGAAGGAAAATCTGAAGAAGTTTCATTTTATAAGTACGTAGGTGCGTATTTCACATGAAGATAAGCTTGGTGAATTAATACACGTGAAATTGCATTGCAAGTCCAAACAAATATAGTAGGCATATTAAATTACATTCACCAATAAATCAGCTGATCCCCTGATGTCGGTTCAGCTGATCCCCTGATATCGGTTCAGCTGATTCTGATATCGGTTCAGCTGACTCCCTGATATCGGTATATAATAAAGAACATTTAAAGTTTTCAGTTTTCTTAAATAGTGAACACGTGATTGGCACTTATTGTAAACAGCGTCCGCATTTCGTTTTAGATGATAGACCCAAGATGTTTGTAATCTCTTACAATCTCCACCGTATCTCCGTTAGTAGTCACTGGTGAATGTTTGAGGGATGTCTTCCTTCGTCTATTACATGGTGACCTAGGTCTGTCACGTGATGTACCATGCTGCGGCAACAATCACTTACTTCTTTGTGCACATTGTGTGCCTACCCTGTTCGCGAACACCTGGTGTCATCACTGATTTCCATTCCTTTCATATCATTCTCGAGATAATCGAGAGTTGTTATTCTGTGGCGTTGTATATATATGTGTGGTATGGACACCAAAGACTGGAGATTGTGCAGCTGGACATAGCTGGAATACCTTGGCTACAGCCGATCTCATGTCTCCGGCTTTGTTACAGAACGTATTAATCCTTATTGTAAACAATATTTTATGAAGGGTAGCAGGATAACCCTAAATGTAAACATGTTTACACAAAGGGTTGCGGATAACCCCTTACTGTAATTTGTTGTGACAGATAATATTATTTTTACGTTTAGGGTTATCCCCATGAAATAATACTTATCGACAGTGATGGAACTTCCCAGGTTAATGGCGCGTTACATTGACTGGATGCAGATGACTAATCAGTGTTCGGCTCCCTCTCTACAACGACCACCTGGTTGCTGTTTGCAGGTTTCATATAAGGAGTTATGACTCCTGATCCTTTTGACCGATTTCTATCAAAGTTTTTGTAGCATAAAGATGGATGGTACGATACTCTACAAGGTAACCTCACTTCTGTTACTATCTTAATAACGGACAACGACGGGACGGAGGCCTATGATTGGTTGAAATGTAGATTTTGTCCAATTTCGATCAATATGTATATGTGTTATGGAACCCCGATCGCAGTGCCATAGGATATGAGAACCTTAGTTACCATGGTAACGGAACGGAGGCCTCTGAATGGTTTAATTGAGATATTTATCAGATTTCCTTCAAAGTTGATTACATTTATTTATATATGTCGACCGGGGGTGGTTACAAGATTACATTTGAGCGCGTAATGCTCCAACTACAATGAACACTTATTTCGTATTGGCTTTCGGAGAGAAAATCTGATTTATAACGGATTTTGATTCTATTATTATTTTATTCTAAACCTACGCTTTCATTCGACAAGATTTATAGTGTGTTAGCTTATCATCTAAAACAAACCGACGTCAGTTTGTAACGTCACCTTTGTTTAGTAGTTGTCACCTACATACTATTTGAATAAATCCAAAATCTTATATTCTGGGAAGATTGTAATTAAACGTATTAAGACACCATCAGGTAATGGGTTGATAACCAACACAGCAGACTGTACGCTTATCATACACCGTGTTGTGGTCAGTTGTACATCGTTCATGAACAGCCATGTTTGTAAATATTAACCTTCCATTGTTAATACTCCTCAGCTGAAACTACTTTTCATATAGCTTTATCTGTTTTATGATTCAGTTGGTGGGAATGAATACATATCTGGTAAGGACATTTTCCTCATACATCACAACGGCGACACCGGGTCACGTGTTCAGTTTGTATTCACATGGAGCGTCATTCGTCACCACTCGCCCCTTTCCCTAACCTGCATTCGGCTTGTCCCGGAATAACACGAGTTGGTCACGAATGCTGGAGCGTACAACTGAGTC